TCTTCACCGTCCAACGTTCATGAATGGGCTGGTTAATAGGCCTACAAACAACAGCGGAACTGTAAATGAAATCGGCTCTTTGATTAGAGAATCATCACCTTCTTCTCAATTAAGGAAAAGGAACCTAAATGTAAACTATATAGAAATTTCGGAAACAGATTCCGATAATAAATCAAAAAAGGCAAGTAATATTTAAGCTACTTTAAAAGTTAATTATTAAAATTTTTTGATTTAGATAAAAAGAGACGCTATTAGTGAAACCGATAACGAAACTGATAGTAGCAAAAGTGATAACGAAACAATTACTTTTAAATTAAATAAACTAAAAAAAAAGGATTGAAACTCAATCAACAAAAGAGGTATGAAGTAAATTTAATTTTGAGTTCTGCTAATGTCATGCATATATATAACAGAAAATTTATAATTGTTAGTGGGTTATAGGTACAATTAATGTATCAAAAAAGTTTAAAGAATACCAATTACAATTAATCGAAAAAGTAATAAAACATCAAGTAAAATTAATATAGAATGATAAATACGATATTGTCAGAGGCTAAATCGGTATATCAGAAAAAGAAGAAACCCGTGCCTCAAAGTAATTCGCGAAGTCTAAGAACTGATCCAAAGACCCACATGCCAAATAGGACCCGGATCGCATATGAAGATCCCGCAGGACCAATGATCGACAAATTCGTGGTTAAACCCAAAAAGGCATTAACCCAATTGTCAAAATGCGGCTTAGCATTAGATGTTAATAGGTTAAATTAACTATATCGAGATAAGTTCGTGGCCATGTCACAGCGCCATGATAAATTTTAAGGCTATTCATTGAAACTTACGAAGTGAAACCTTCGTTTTAGTTCTTTTTCTTTCTTTTTGTTTCTTTTCTGTGCTTCCAAAAATTTTATAAAAGAAATATAAATTTGACAACATTAAAAGAGATTAGATGCTATCACAATCTGATCAATAAAATAAATAAAATTCTTACCTTTGCCTAACATTTCGCTACTGCCTTGACTCATGCCAAATCAAATCCCGCCTCTCTTTTAAGTAGTGTCACATTACGCTGCGTCTTGGATTTCTTAGTGACGCTGTCACGCTATTCTTTTTTTTGTGGAGGTAGTGTTGTTAGCCTCCGACAATATATTGTAAGTATTTTAAAATATTTATTTGCATATTTATTGAAATTATACTAATTTAATCTTCTTATATTATAATATAGGTCATTGTCTTCAATAATCATCTTAATCAAACCATGTTCATATTCTACATTTACATCTTCTGAATGGAATCAAATTATTGATTCGAATATTCACACTATAAAAGAGTCTGTTTGAACCAACTCCTTTGCATCTTCTTTATCGGAGGCATGCAATAACGTTGCAATAGGATTAAATGGTAGTTTCATATCTAATAATGAAAGCGATCTGAGCAAAAAAGCTTTCCGAATATTTAATAATCTGTAAGTTGCTATCAAGATCTTTTTGATATTATATCATTAATGAAAAAAACTAAAGACCGATTTAATTTTGGTATGCCTAAAGGAAGACATACCATCAACACCAACAAAAAAGATTACCGAAAATGAACATCGATTTCACTATTTCGATTCTTTGATAAAACGATTTTTTTGTGAGGACTCAAAAAATTACGAAGTAAAGTTAGATAAAAGGGTTAATAGTTCACTTAAAAGACCAGATTTCAGCTGCAGGATCAACGACATTTGTGCAGTAGAACATACCACTAGTAAAATAAAATGTTTTTAAAAATCATTTTATTTTGCTTGTAATAATATTAACCAGAATTCTGGTTTATTTAAAAATAAATCTACAACCGGCACCGCCATTAAGCATCAAAATATTCCTGTTCCTGCTTATCTTGAAACAATTGATCCAAAAGATTATTTTGAAAGACTAAAGCATAACAAATGTCCGAGCTCCTTCCCATCCGAAAAAATTAGGCCTCCTGCACCTCCTACACTAAATAATAAATATACAAAACAAAAATTTTTTTTGGAGTCAGAAATCTTCACCACCACTACAACTAGACAATTCAAGTTAATAGAAACTACCAGCATTACTAGCAGTAAATTCTTTGATAGTGAGAACAAGTCTAAGATAGAAATACAACCTAGAGTACAATTCGAAAAGCATAATCGCAAAACTAAGTAACACGTAAGCATTGTTCATGTTATTACTTTTTTATAAGCCTGATTTTTTGGCTAATTACTAAAGGTCGATTCTAATTTTGAACTTTAACTAGTACAATCAGTCAATATAATCAACCGGTAGGACTAAAAATCTACAACAATGATTTTAAGTTCTTGTGGGCAAAATAAAGCTTTGTTAAATCTACTCTCATCTTTGCTGTTCTGCCCTTTGCTATTCCTTCTGTTGACCTTCTAACTATAAGCTGTAGTTACGTTTTCTTTGTTTTGCAAAAGCGAAGGGTTCTTTATTTGAACCGATCGCTCTTTTAACGATGTTTTTATATTCTGTTATTAAAATAATTTCTTTGTTTGTATTGCTTATAGTTTAAACTT